GGGTTGCCCAAATTCGCCCCGGACATCCCCGTTAAACACGGGCACTCCCCTGCAAGTCTGGGGAGCATCCGGGCGGCCATTCTGCTGGCCGTCATCACTCCTCGTCCTCCTCCTCCACGCCCCGCTCTCCCCGTTCCTCGTCTCCTTCCCCTCCTCCTCCTCCTCCTCCTCCTCGTCCTCCTCCTCGTCCTCCTCCTCCTCCGCCGTTGGGCACGCAGGCGGAGAGGGAAGTAGTATCATCATCAATGTCATCATCATAATTATCATAAGCAGCAGCAGCAGCTGCATCAGCAGCAGCACGATCACCATCATCAACCATCACCATCACCATCACCATCACCATCACCATCACCATCGCCATCACCATCACCATCACCATCACCATCATCAGCATCAGCATCAGCATGAGCATCAGCATCATCATCATCATCATCATCATCATCATCATCATCATCATCATCATCACAGTCAGCATCGTCACAATCTTCATCAGCATCAGCATCAGCATCAGCATCAGCATCATCATCATCGTCATCATCATCATCATGATCAGCATCATCATCATCATCATCATCATCATCCTCATCCTCATCATCATCATCATCGTCATCATCATCATCATCATCAGCATCACCATCTTCATCTTCATCTTCATCTTCATCTTCATCTTCATCTTCATCTTCATCTTCATATTCATCATCAGCAGCAGCATCGCCCACATAATCACCATCACCATCACCATCATCATCACCACCACCACCACCATGACCATCTTCATCAGAATCAACAGCATTGTCATCAATAGCAGCATCGTCATCGTCAGCATCATCAACGTCATCATCACCGCCAGCATCATGATCTGCATGATCAGCATCATCAGCATGATCATCATCATCATCGCCATCATCATCCTTACAATCATCAGCATCATCATGGTCATCATAATCAGCATCATCGATAGAATCGTCGTCATCACCATCATCACCAGCATCATCATCACCACCATCATCATCAGCATCATCATCTTCATCATCATGGCTATCTTAATCTTCATCAGCAGCATCAACAGAAACGACTATAATCACAGCGCCATCAACAGCAACAGCTACAGAAGCACCCTCAACAATTGCAACAACAACAACAAGATTAATAATGACAGTAACAATCACAGCACCCACGTCCACAACAACAGCAGCAAGAAAAAAACAACCACAACAGCAGCAGCAACACCAACAACAACAATTACAACCACAACTACAATAGCATCCTCGTCATCATCATCATCATCACAATCAGAATCACCATCAGCATCATCATCATCCTCATCATCATCATCATCCTCATCATCATCATCACCATCAGCATCATCATGATCCCAATCCCCGTTCACCTCCACCTCCGATATCCTCATCCTCCTCCCCGTCCTCCTCCAACAAGCCCTCCTCCACCCCGTCCTCCTGCTCCACCTGGTCCTCCTCGTACACCTCCTCATTCTCCCTATACACCTACCACTCATCATCCTCCCATTCCTCCTCCCGCTCATCCTCCCCCTCCTCCTCCTCCCCTCCTCCGCCTCCTCCTCCTCATCCTCCTCCTCCTGCTCCTCGTCGTCATCATCATTATCAGAATCACCATCATCATCATCATCATCATCATCAGCAGCAGCAGCAGCATCAACGTCATCATCAACCGCCTCACCATTATTGTCGTCGTCATCGACATCGCAACCGTCATCATCAACTTCATCATCCCATCACCATCACCATCATCATCATCATCATCCTCATCCTCATCGTCATCATCATCAGCATCCTCATCATCATCACCACCACCACGATCACCATCGCCATCATCATCATCAGCATCATCATCATAATCATCATCATCATCATCATCATCATCCTCATCGTCCTCATCATCATCCTCCTCATCATCCTCATCATCCTCACCATCCTCATCATCATCCTCCTCATCCTCATCATCAACCTCCTCCTCATCATCATCCCTTTCCACATCCCACTCCACACCCTCCTTCTACTCCACCTCATCCTCCTCCAACTCCTTCTCCTCCTCCTCCCCCTCCTCCCCCTCATCATCAGCATCCCCTTCTTGAACCTTCCCTTCCTCCTCATCCTCCTCCTCCTCCACCTGCTCATCCTCTTCTTCCTATTCCTGCTCCTCCTCCTCCTCTTCCTCCTCCTGCTCACAACCACCACCTCCACCACCACCACGTCCACCACCACTACCATCACCATCACCATCACCATCATTATCGTCGTCATCGTCGTCATCATCATCAGCAGCAGCCTGAGCATCAGCATCAGCATCAGCATCATCATCCTCATCACAATCACCATCACCATCATCAGCATCCTCATCATCCGAATCATCATCATCATCATCATCATCATCATCATCATCATCATCATCATCCTCATCATCATCATCATCAGCATCATCACTACCGTCATCATCATAATCATCATCGTCATCATCAGCAGCATCATCAGCATCATCAGCATCGTCATCTACACCAACATCATCATCAACAGCATCAGCAGTATCAGAATCATCAGCATCATCATCAACACCACCATCATCACTATCACCATCATCATCGTCATCATCATCAGCATCATCATCACCATTTATCATCGTCATACTCTTCATCATAGTCATCAGCATCATGATCATGACCACCATCATCATCATCATCATCAGCATCATCATCATCATCGTAAGCCTCATCCTCATCGTAACCCTCATCCTCATCTATCTCCGTATCCTCGCCATCCACCTCCCTCTCCGGGCCAAATCTCTTCCTCCTCCTCCTCCATTTCCTCCCCCTCTCCCTCCTCCTCGACCCTCCGTCCTTCACATCCACCTGATCATCGCTTCTCCTCCTCCTCCTGCTCCAACTCCCCCTCGTTTCCTATCCCATCCTACTCCTCCTCCGCCTCCTCCTCCTGTTCCTCCTGCTCCTCCCCATCCTCCTCGTATTATTCGTCTTCGTATTCGTCGTCTTCGTCTTCCTATGTTTTGTTCGGTACTATGGTTATTGTTAGTACTAAGATTACCATTATTAGTATTATCAGTATTATGATTATGATTTATCTTCTGAGTTTTCTTCGTCGTACGATCCTTATTGGGTCTTCTGATTGTTGTCCTTATTATTGTGCTCCTGATTATTCGTTATATCATTGGTAGTATTGTTGCTATCCTTAGTGTGATTCGTATTAGTGTGCTTCTTCGTAGTGGTCTTCGTAGTAGGACTCTTATGATCATTATTATCTATACTACTATTACTGTTATTAGTGTTCGTAGTAGTGTTATCATGTGTATTGTTAGTACTGCTATTGTGACTCTTTATTGTTATTGTTCTGTCTTGTGGGAATTACGATTATTCTTCTCATTAGTAGTATTATTGATATTATTCTTCATCGTCATCACCATCGTCATCATCAGCATCATCAGCAGCGTCAGCATGATCGTCATCATCATCATCATCAGATTAATCATCATCAGCAGCATAAGCATCAGCATCATCATCATCATCGTCAGCGTCAGCATCAACATGATCATCGTCATCATAATCAGCATCAGCATCATCATTATCATCAAAGTAATCATCATCATCGTCATCATCATCATGAGCATCATCATCATCATCATCATCATCACCACAATCATAATCAGCAACAACATCATCATCATGATCATCATCAGCACCACCACCACCACCACCACCTTCGTCATCATCATCAGCAGCATCATCATAATCATCAGCATCATCATCGTCGCATTCATCATCATAGTCATATTCGTCAACACCACCATCGTCATCATCAAGACAATCATCAGCATCAGCATCGTCATCATTATCACCATCATCAACATCATTATAGTCAACATCAACATCATCATCAGCAGCATCAGCATAAGCATCAGCATGATTATCATCATCATCATTATCAGAATCACCATCACCATCATCATCATCATCATCAACACCATCATCATCGTCATCATCATCATCGCCGTCCAGCTCCACCTTCGTCATCATGTTCATCCTCCTCATCCTCCTCATCCTCCCCCCCTCCTCCCCCTCCTCCTCGTCGTCCTCGTCCCCCATGTCCACCTCCTCATCCGCCCTATCCAGCTCCTCCTTCCTCATCCTCCTCATCATCCCTCCCTCCACGTCCCCTCCTCCCCCTCCTCCTCCTCCTCCTCCTACTCCTCCTCCTCCTCCTCTTCGTCCTTCTTCTCATCCTCCTCCTCCTCCTACTACTACTACTACTACTCCTCCCCATCCTCATCAGCAACATCAACATCAACACCAACATCATCATCAGCATCATCGTCATCATCGTCACCATCGTCATCATGATCAGCATCATCAGCAGCAGCATCAGCATCAGCATCAGCATCAAAATAATCATCATCACCACCACCATCATCCTCATCATCATTCTCATCCTCATCCTCATCCTCGTAGGTAGAGGCGGCGGGCAGATGGAAAGCAGGAGGGCAGAAGGAAGGAGAAGAAGCAGAATGAAGTTCGGAATTAGAATCCAGGTGTTCTAGATTTTAGAGGTGGCCCTGCTTGCCTGAGATGCCCCCATCTTGTCGCGCCATCTTGTGGCCTCGGGTACCCTCTGGGCCTCGTGAGGGATGCCATGGAAGCAATATGGGCGTCCCTGGAAGAGCTGAGGCCGTCTTGGGCCAAGGTCACTTCCGGCAACGTCCGAATAATATTGGCTTGATCGGACGTGGCCCAAGCCCCAGACCCGCGCGCATGCGGCCTTACCGAAAGCGCCCTCGCCACGCGTGTGTGCAGTAGTCTCTCTGCTGTCACAATGCTCGGCAGCCGAATTTCCCTGCCCTGGGGAGGAGGGGTGAAGCGGGAAAAGGAGGCAGGAGGAAGAGCCGAGAGAGCCGAGAGAGCACGAGGCGGCAAAAGAGGCTGCTGCAGCAGCAGCAAAAGAACGAAAGACCAGAGGTCCTCAGCATCGCCTCGTCCTCCAGCAGGGCCCCGTCACGAGCACGCCTTGCACGGGCGTGGCGGGACGACACACTGGCTGCTGAACACGATGGCACCGCCCGACCAGCGAATGGCTCTCCGGTGCGCTTGGCTGGGGCGATGACGAAGGTCCAAGCTCAATGGCCTGCAAACTGGCACGGCTCCGTGGAGACGGCACACGCACGGTCCCCATGAAGAAAACCATGCTGCCCCTAACTTGGCTCCATGTGTGCCGTCACGTCGCGTCGGCGCCTGCGGGACAGCATCGTCGCGTGCCTACACCGTTCTTGCAACAGTCAAGGATGAGGGAATGGCCGTGACCACTCGAACATGCGGTCCCGGCGTTCCAGGCCCCCGAGCAGTCCGAACAAAGCCAGGCGTGTCGGCACCCTTGCGGGTCCTCCAGCTTCCTTGGCTCCCTGAAAGCATGGTCCACAGACACACACACACAGACACACACACACACACACACACACACACACTTTGTTTGGCGTTGCGGCCCCGCGCGAGGCGACGGGGCGTAGAAAGTCGACGCACACGCACACACACACAGACAGACACACATGTTTCGGTGGTCGCGAGCGAAGGGCACCTCCTCGCCGCCCGGCCCGCGCGCGGAGGACCGCGCGCGGGCCCAGCAGTCGGAAATTGAAGAAAAGCGATGCAGCGCAAGGCCGCCGGTCATCGGCAGCGGGGAGCGGACGCGACGAGGCGCCGGGGCAGCGAAGGCACCCCAGCTCGGCCCAACTGAGGAAACGACCAGGAACCAGCAGGACGAGGAGATGGGAGGTTCAAGCGAAGCGAGGGAGAAGCGAGGAACGAGGAGCGACGGCAGACCGCCGAGGGAGGAGGCGGACGGACGCGAGAGCACGGGTCGACCGACGAGGGAGGGGACTCTGGGGGAAGGAAGAGCCGCCACACGCGCGAGGCAGAGGCGAGGCACGGAGAGGGGGAGGAGCGCCAGCCGAGGAAGGAGGCGAGAGGAAAGGAGGAGGCACAGCACAGCGACGGGGGGCAAGAAAAAAGAGGGGCAACAGGGAAACCGAAGGCCCGCCAGGCGAGCAAGCCGCGCGGGGGCTGTGCGTCGGGGGAAGGGGGCGCGGCACGGAGAGGAATGGACGACGACGACACGACACAAAACGGACAACACACTTTTTTGGTCTGCGGGTCCAGAGCGGGCCTCCTCCAGTTAAGAGCTAGGCGGGGCGCGCGACGCACTAATTGGGGAGACAGGGCGCGGGCGGGCGGGGCCTCAGGAGGCCGGAGGGTGCGGAGAACAGGCGGTGCCGAAGAGCTTGCATAGGAAGAGGTACGCCTTGGACAGGAGCCGGGGGCGAAGTCCCAGAGGCAAACAAAAAAAACGGACAACACACGAAGACGGACAACCACACAGCAGCGCCGGGCCGGCTGCGGGGCGCGCGGGTCATCCCCCGCGCGGGCACGGAGGGCTGCGGATGACCCCCCGCACGGGGACTGGACTGCCCCCGCCAAGGGGGCTGGTGAAAGAGAGGACGTGCGGACGACCCCCCGCAAGCAAAGCGGAAAACCCCCCGCCGAAAGGACTGGAAAACGTGAGCGTGCGCTCGCATAAACTGACATCCTGGGGAATGAAACAGCACGGTAAGAATGGGACGACGACGACGACGACGACGACGACGACGACGACGACGACGACGACGACGACGGAAGAGGAGACGAGCAGAACAAGTCCCGTGGCAGCTTACCACCGTATCAGGCTCGCGCGTAGAAAGACCACTGCGTGCAAGCTGTATGCCACCAGGAGAAATGCCTCGGCCCAAAGAGGACGGCGCACAGTGACATCCTGGAGGGGGGAGCAGCACGGAGAGAAGGCCACAGCAAGGAGAGAAGACGACGAGGGAGAAGGTCCCGTGGCAGTTTATCGCCCCACCGGGCTGCATGCGAAGGCAAAAGATCATGCATGCTGCAATGACACCGCGCGCGCGTGGCAGGGAACGGAAACGAGAGCCTCAGCTTCAACGAACAAGCGGAATCAGGCTGGGGGGCGGGGCCCGCAGGCGGTAGCGGGGGAACCTATTCCCGCCCCCCCAGCCGGAATAGCGCCCGCAGGTCGGGGCGCGGGAGCTCCGTCCCATCCTGGCAGCAATCGCGAAGAAAGGACAGAAGGCGGGCACAAACCGATCACCAACGATCAAACGCATCCAGGCTGGGGGGCGGGGCCCGCGGGTGGAAGCGCGGCAACCCCTTCCCGCCCCCCCCTTGCCGGAGTGGGGCCCGCAGGCGGGTTCGCGGAAGCCCCGTCTCACCCCAGCAGGCGCTGCGAAGAGAAACGGACGGTGATTCAGTACCTATCGAAGCAGACCGCCTGCAGATGGAAAACTGTCATTCGGAATATCCGAATGCACGTAGCGCACGTGATGAAAGCAATGAGACAGCAATGCAGGACGCGTGAGAGAAAGCACAAAACCTGCAGTGGCACGCAGACAAATTCACGACCCTTG